AGTTTTTTTCATAAACGATTTTTTTGTTGCTGGTTTGTGTATTTTTCACTAAATCTACTCTGTTTTGCAGCCAGCTCTAATACTATGGAAAGATAATGCAGCAAATAATTAAGCAATCAATTTGCAAACATCTAGAAGATAATAAGGTGATAAGTAACAGTCATCATGGATTTGTCAAGAACAAATCCTGTCAAATCACTCTGATAGCTTTCTTTGACAGGGTAGCAAGCCTTGTGGATAGGCAGGAAGTTCTGGGTCTAGTTCTGTTCAGTGTCTTCATCAGTGATTTTGATACTGTGAGGATAGAACATTTATAAAATTTGCCAATTCTATCAAGCTGGGAGGGGCTGCGGGTGCTTTGGAGGATAGGGTCAGAATTCCAAATGATCTGGACAAAGTGGAGAAATAGCCTGCAGTAAACAGGATGAAATGCAACAAGGATAAGTACTCTGCTTAGGAAAAAGCCATCAGTTATGCACATACAAAATGGGACGTACTTGCCTAGGAAGGAACCCTGCAGAAAGGTATCTGGGGGTCATAGTGGACCACACGCGAAATGTGAGTCAACAGTGTAACACTGCTGCAAAAAAAGTGAACATCCTTCTGGGATGTATTAGGAGAAGTGTTTTCAGCCAAGACACACAAAGTCATTCTTCTGCTCTACTCTGCACGGATTAGGCCTCAGTTGGAGTACTGTGTCCAGTTCTGGGCACCACATTTCAGGGAAGATGTAAACAAATTGGAGAAAGTCCAGAAAAGAGCAATACAAATAGTGAAGGATTTAGAAAGCATGACCTATGAGGGAAGACTGAAAGAACTGGGCTTGTTTAGTTTGGGAAAGAGAAGACTGAGAGGGGACATGAGAGCAGCTTTCAAGTTCCTAAAAGGGTGTCACAAGGAGGTTCGAGAAAAATTATTCACCCTCACCTCTGAGGACAGGACAAGATGCAATGGGCTGAAATTGCAGCAAGGTTGGACATTGGGCTGAAATTGCAATTTCAATGGGCTGAAATTGCAACAAGGTTGACAGCGTGTAGTCAACCTGTGGAACTCCTTGCCAGAGGAGGCTGTGAAGGCTAGGACTATAATAGAGTTTAAAGAGAAGCTAGATAATTTCATGGAGGTTAGGTCCATAAAAGGCTATTAGCCAGGGGATAAAATGGTGCCCTTGGCCTCTGTTTGTCAGAGGCTGGAGAGAGATGGCAGGAGACAAATTGCTTGATCATTGTCTTCGGTCCACCCTCTCTGGGGCACCTGGTTTTGGCCACTGTCGGCAGACAGGATACTGGGCTAGATGGACCTTTGGTCTGACCCAGTACGGCCGTTTTTATGTTATGTTACATTAGGAAAAACTTCCTGCCTGTCAGGGTGGTGAAACACTGGAATAAATTGCCTAGGAGGGTTGTGGAATCTCCATCACTGGAGATATTTAAGAGCAGGTTAGACGGACACCTGTCGGGGATGGTGTAGACCAGCAGTTCCCAACTGCTGGTCCATGGACCGATACCGATCTGCGAACTGCTGGCTGCCAGGCCATGGCAGCTGCCAGAGCTCAAGCCGGCTGTTCGTGGCAGCTCAGCTCCAGCAGCCTCCCTCTCCGCACTTGGGTAGGGAGGGGTTGGAAAGGAGGAGGGAGCGTGTGCGTTGCCAATGACTGCTCCCTCTGCCCATGCGGTTGCTTTTGCTGCCTGCAGCGCTGGGGCTGAGGCAGCAGCAAGAGAGAGGAAGCAGGAGGCACCTCCAGCCCTCCTTTCCTCTCAGTAATGGCAGCTGGATGGAGCTCTGCTTTTCCCCATTCCACCCACAGAGGCACACGATGAGTTTGGGGAGGGATGGCAAAGAAGGAGGAAACATGTGACTTTGGCCAAGTCCCGTCATCCCTTGGTGCCTCAGTTTCCCCACCTGTGAAATGGGGGGGATGACCCTGACATCCTTTGTAACGCGCTTTGAGATCTGTGAGTGAAAAGAGCAGGGTGGTATTATATTATTCCATGGGCTTTTTGAGTGGGGTTGTACCTTTATGGCAATGGGTATTTATAAGCGGGCTCTTTTAAACTGAATGTAACTAGAAATCAAAGAGAAATATTGACCTCACCTTTGGGAATTCGTTGCCCCTGTGGATTCTTGTGGGATCCAGTGTGGTGCTTATAGGGAAGGGTCTGTGGAAACCTCTGAAGTGTTGAAAACTCCGAACCTTGCCAAAAAATCACAATGTTTGACACAACAATCCTTTTTGTTTGCCTTCCGCTCGCTGCGGCGCTGGGGCTGGGGCTTACACACTTTTCCTTGCCCCCTTGAGAGCTACAAATGTTAAAAAACCACCACCGTAAGCTGAGAGGCTCCCCGAATCCCCTGACTCCAGGAGCTGAGATCGCTAGGAACCGCACCAGCGATGACACCACTCGTGATAAAACCAAGAGGGCTGGGCGCATGGCGGGTGGCGTTTGGAAAGGGCTGAGAAGCCAGCGGTGGCAGCGGGATGAAGGCTGTCCTCTGAGCACAGAAGCAGCTGCGATCCACAGATGCTGTCAGCCTGAGGCCTGTTCTGTGAAGGCAGAGCCCCCTCTGTTGGCAGTTCTGGGTCATTTGCTGTTTCCTGGCGTCCTCATGCAATGACTGGTTGGGTTGAATCAAAATACAGGACTATGTAGCACTTTAAAGACTAACAAGATGGTTTAATAGGTGATGAGCTTTCATGGGCCAGACCCACTTCCTCAGATCAAATAGTGGAAGAAAATAGTCACAACCAGATATACCAAAGGATACAATTAAAAAAAATGAACACATATGAAAAGGACAAATCAAATTTCAGAACAGAAGGCGGATGCGGGGGGCGGGGGGAAGGTAAATGTCTGTGAGCTAATGATATTAGAGGTGATAATTGGGGAAGCTATCTTTGTAATAGGTAAGATAACTGGAGTCTTTGTTAAGACCCCAGCGTAAAGAATTTTAGCATGAATAACAGTTCAGAGGATTCTCTTTCAAGTGAAGTCTTAAAAGGCTTTTGAAGCAGGATGCAGGTAATTAAGTTGTTGAGACAATGTCCTTTCTGGTTGAAATGGCAAGAAACTGTTTTTTCTTTGTGATCCTGTCTAATATCTGTTTTGTGGGCTTTATACCAGGTGCGGGGAACCTCTTTTGGGTCGGGGGCCGCTGACCCACCGAAAAATTAGTCGGGGGCCCACACAAGCGAGAAGCAAAAAAAAGCCCTTTGGGGACCCAGACAAGTACATTTTGTGTGCTCCAGTCCTGCAAGAGAACAGTGGTGCGGGGCTGTCATACTTCCCAATGTTGGGGGGGAGAGCCCTGAGGCTCAGGAGCTGGATCTAGACAAGCCAGGGGCCGCAGGTTCTGCACCCCTGCTTTCCATGGTGGTTAACTGTCAAAGATGGGGTCGCAAAAGGCAGACATCTCAGAGTTACAGGACTCGCTGCCCCTCTGTGCCTGTCCTGGTCTCTTGGGGGAATGCCTGCACTGCGTGGTAATCCTAGGTCTTGTGGTCTCCGCATTTCCAGCCCTGCGCATGAGCGGCCGCACTGCAGTGGAACCCTGGGCTTACAGTTCCTGGACCAGGGTGTCTCCGCCACGGCATGCGACACAGACCTTATGATTTTGGGCTGTGGCTGGAGTTGCCGCTGCAGAATGACTGTGTTCGCGGCCAAGTCACAGCCGGACTCAGGCTCTGACCCCTTCTGCCCCCCAGCAAGGTAGTAAGACTTGGGTGCTTGCTGAGCAGAACCAAACTGATCTGTATGTAGACAGATGGGGGCTTTGAGGTCAGAGTGGACCACAAGGGATCTAGGGGTTCTAGTGGACCACAAGCTGAATATGACTCAGCAGTGTGATGCTGTTGCACAAAAAGCATACATGATTCTGGGATGCATTATCAGGTGTGTTGTGAGCAAGACACGAGAAGTCATTCTTCCACTCTACTCTGCGCTGGTTAGGCCTCAGTTGGAGGATTGGGTCCAGTTCTGGGCCCCACATTTCAAGAAAGATGTGGAGAAATTGGAGAGGATCCAAAGAAGAGCAACAAGAATGATTAAAGGTCTAGAGAACATGAGCTATGAGGGAAGGCTGAAGGAATTGGGCTTGTTTGGTTTGGAAAGGAGAAGACTGAGGGGGGACTTGATAGCGGTTTTCAAGTATCTAAAAAGGTGTCACAAGGAGGATGGAGAAAAATTGTTCATCTTGGCCTCTGAGGACAGGACAAGAAGCAATGGGCTTAAACTGCAGCAAGGGAGGTTTAGGTTGGACATTAGGAGAAAGTTCCTAACTGTCAGGGTGGTGAAACACTGGAATAAGTTGCCCAGGGAGGTTGTGGATTTTGAAATAAGTAGCCTGTTATCTCAAAATAACGGGCTTGGTCCACTTCTTATTTCGAAATAAGGGGGGTTATTTCGAAATAACTCCCTGGTGTAGACCAGGGCTAAGACAGGGAAAGCTGTCCTGCTCTCTCCTCTTCCCACCTTTGCAGAGATGGGTGGGTGTGTGTGTGTGTGTGTGTGTGTGTGTGTGTGTGTGTGTGATGAAATCTTAGACACAGGGCACTGCCTCCTCCGACAGCACTTCTCTGAGTCACTCGCCATCCGTGCTTCAGACTGGAGCAGCTCCACTGTGTGTCTGCCTCTCCCCGACCCCTGCTCTGCAGAGATGGGGCACAAGGCGACACCCTGACGTCAGCCCTCCCCTTCTCCACCATCCTCCCGCCCTGCAGGAGAATCCTGGGAGCAGCTGGGCTGCAGGGCAGAGCCGGGTGGAGGGAGGAGCAGCTGAACACAGGCTGCCAGCTGTAAGTCTGCACCTCTGCTGCTCAGCAGGGCGAGGCAGAGAGAAATGCTGGGAGGGCTGGATCCGGCCCTCCGGCCTGATTTTGCCCACCCCTGGCATAGAAGCACAGCGAGCTCTCCCTCCTGCTCTGAGCCTTGCTTGCTGTTTGACCTTCTGCATGGCCATTGCCAATGACTCACGGCCGGCTCTGTTCCTTCCCTGTGCTGCAGGTATATCCGAACCATGTACCTGGGGATCCAGAGCCAGCGGCGCAAGGAACACCAGCGGCGCTTCTACTGGGCTATGATGTACGAGTATGCAGACGTCAACATGCTGCGCCTCTTGGAGACTTTCCTGGAGAGCGCGCCCCAACTGGTGCTACAGCTCTGCATAATGATCCAAAAGAATCGTGCAGAAACATTACCATGTAAGTGGCCCTTGGCCCCACATCCATTTTCTCGGCCTCTCGTGGCCCTTTTGTGGCCCGTCCCCACTACGTAACCTATCGCGTCAGACGCTGGCACTTTGGACAAAACTCGGTTCAGCTCTGTGCTGCATTTACTCAGTGAATTTCTGCTGGGCAAAATACTCCGCTCCTTCTATTTTTTAAAGACCCACGTGGTCGAGAGGAATGATCACAAGACTGGGCATTCCTCAGTGCTACTCCTAGCACGGCTACTGACTTGCTGTGTAGCCTTGGGCAATTCACCTAACCTTTGTCTGCTAGTGGGGACAATAAAACATGTCTGCCTCAGTATTGTGCGGATTAACTGGTAAATGTTTGTGCCGTGCTCCGACTATGTAAAGTGCTATGTTTCATAGGTACGGCTAAGGTGGTCACCCTTAAAAAGTCAACTTTTGCCATGAGTTCAAACACACTTATTGGGACCACAGTTCTGTACGGCTGTGTCTACACTGGCCCCTTTTCCGAAAGGGGCATGGTAATTTTCAACATCGTAATAGGGAAATCCGCGGGGGATTTAAATATCCCCCGCAGGATTTAAATAAAGATGTCCGCCGCTTTTTTCCGGCTTGTAGAAAAGCCGGAAAAGAGCATCTAGACTGGCCCGATCCTCCGGAATAAAGCCCTTTTCCGGAGGATCTCTTATTCCTACCTCGTGCAGGCAGGCCCATACCTAAGGCAAGCCGCTTAGAGAAGACCCCATGAATTGCCCCTTCGGCTCTTGACTTAAGACCTCTGCCTTCCAATCCAGGTTTGCCAAAGCCGGCCTAAATACATCCCCTTCTCCCCACACGCCGAAATCAGGCACTCATCAGGCCTGAGGGGTGTCGGTGGTGGAGGAGTGGAAGGGAAGTTGACGTTCAGGTGCTGTGCCAATTCTTTGGATAAAAGGCTTCTGGAGAGAATGTTTCTGTCAATTTCAATGAATTTGGATCAGGCCTGAAAGACACGTCCACCCCCAAGGGCTGTCAGTCCAGCAGCTTTCTCCAACCCCAGTTCGCTTTCCTTACAGCTCCAGGGAGGACCCTTTGGCTGAGGTCTCACCTCTTGAGTTCAAGAATATTCCATGTGACCAGTGTTCCCTCTTTTTCCAGCCATGTGCCGAATAAATTTTGTCACGTGCACTGAGACAAGTGTAGATGTGCACCATAAGAATATAAGAACAGCCATACTGGGTCAGACCAAAGGTCCATCCAACCCAGTACCCTGTCTGCCGACAGTGGCCAATGCCAGGTGTCCCAGAGGGAGTGAATCGAACAGGTAATGATCAAGCGATCTCTCTCCTGCCATCCATCTCCACCCTCTTACAAACAGAGGCTAGGGACACCATTCCTTACCCATCCTGGATACTAGCCATTTATGGACTTAACCTCCATGAATTTATCTAGTTCTCTTTTAATACCCTGTTATAGTCCTAGCCTTCACAACCTCCTCAGGCAAGGAGTTCCACAGATTGACAATGCACTGTGTGAAGAACTTCCTTTTATTTGTTTTAAACCTGCTGCCCATTAGTTTAATTTGGTGGCCCCTAGTTCTATATTATGGGAACAAGTAAAACACAAGTGGGCAGATGTGGGCTGTCAATCAGCTAGGTGGCACCTGAATCTGTTCTGGGCAGCTGCCCAAGTGCTCAGCTTACCGATGTGACCACAGGTACAAGTGACACCTCCTTTTCAGCGGACAAACAGCCGCAAGAGGTGATGAAGTGAGTGAAATCTATAGCAAAGTTGGCTTTTGGTGGCCATAATTATATTAGCACTTTATATCTTCAGAGCACGGGGCAGACATGAACAAGGTGATCTTCACTGGAGCCCTGTGAGTGACATGCAAATAGGGAAACCGAGGTAGAAAGAGGTGGCTTGGAGAGATTTGCTCGAGGTTCTGTGATGGCAGATTCAGGATTAGAATTCAGAAGTGCCTGGCCATCTACCATGCTTGCTGCCTCTCCTCAGTTGGTAAAGTATAGAGAACGCATCTTTACTAATGAGATGTGCCAACAAAGAGTGCACTGCACAAAAAAAATGTGTTGATGGGCTGTTCGGCAAAGAAGTCAAACTGCAGCAAGATGGCTAGAAAATGATCCAGCTGAAATTGACGGGATATTTGAAAAAGCATCGTCTGAGACACGATGGCTTGGTTGTGCGAGTGGCAAGTTTCGCAAAGGAACCTGATCTCTAACGTGCAGCATCTGTTCTGAGCTCGTTAAGCCTGTTGCTGAGCTGACGTTTGTCCCAAGTGGCGGCTGGTAGTTTCCTTCTCAGGGCCTTCTCTACATTCATGTTTTCATACGGGCACTCACAGGTGGGAACACTCCTCTGACACGGCCATTTCCCTATTGCAGAAGCCAGCTGAACTTTGGATATTTGCAATAGGGAAACTAATGCATGTTTTGATCTCTGTAGGACAAGCTTGCCTGTCACTTGGGGAAGGCGCCGTTTGTTCACATATGGAAGATCCAGTCTCAAACTCAGCCCTGTACATATGTGAATTTCTGGGAAGGCAAAAGTGCCGGGAGAAAACTCAAGTAGGACGTGACTCTAGAGGATGTAGTGGAGTTGAGTTTTGGTCTGATAGAAGTCACTTACATCACTGCAGCGTGTCTGGTGCACTGAGAAAAAGAGGCTCATAATGTATCTTTTGTACTTGATTTCTGTAGTGCCTGCTGCTACTAGATTGCAAGACCACACCTGGTGCACAACGTAAGGCTTAGTCACCGTGTCACCGTCCTCACAGCGGTACTTTGCTAGTCTTATACAATGCATTGCACAGGTGTTGAGATACTCCTTCCTTCTTCTTTGCAGGAAACAACTCCCCTTACCTGCAATTACACTGAGACATTGCACCAGCTCACAAAATAAAAAAGATTTGTAAAGGGTAAGGTGATCCAGGTGAGCGTTGCTGACGTGTATCCTCTGAACCTACTGAGGGAAGAGCCCTTCCAGGAGCCAATGAGTGTAAATCACGTTGCGTGTTTCTCAGATTTCTGATGCATTAGCTAGAAAAGTGCCGGGACCACGGGACTGAAGCAATTTCTGTAATTGGCATGAATCCTTCCTGTGCCCCTGCTCAACCTCCAAACAGAGGTCTCCCCCGGAGGTCTGGCTGCATCCTATGAGCCTACATGGCAGCCCTGACATAGGTCGACTTATTGCCACTGCAGTCCACAGCACCCTCCTTCTGTTGGTGGCTCCCCAAGAGTGCTTCTGCTGACGGAAGAGGGGCAGCATGGGGAGCTGAGAGCCAGGGCACAGAGAGCCTCTGGGCAGCAGCTCGGGTGGGAATGGGCAGCTGGGGGCACCTGGGCTCAAGCTGCCCAGCCTGATCGTCAATTTCATGGCTCCACCAGGGAGCGGTGAAATCGACAAGACAGCCAAAAGCCGCTGTACGTCCC